TATATATTGTGTAAAGGAGAGTGCAATTCTCGCTAAATTGCTCCGTGTGCTTATAGGGGACATTGGATAAACGGAAAATTGATGTCAGGACAGAATTTACTGCTGAAACATTTGATGTTTCATCCCATTTCTTTGCCCTTCCTCTACCTTAAGTTACTGTTTGATCCTTTCTGTGCTTTCTTATTTTTCCATGCTGCCCTCTGCTTATTCATGTTATTATAAATAACAGCGATAGATGTCTCCTGTTTCCTTTTTCTATCCATTCGTTAGGAATTGTATCTTATGCACCCTGTTTTTGTTTCACCCCTGACTCATTGTTTTCCATATTTTTGTGTATTTTTTATTTAAACTGCTTGTCCCTCCTTTTCTGTGTCCGTTACTTTCACAAGCATAGCTGTATTCCATAGAAACAGAAATACAAGTTATTTCCTGCCCTTTTGCTACATCAATTGAGCGTAAGACTAGTTAGTTAGATGTCCCGTTAATGATTTCTGTTACATCGGCCTCCGTGAAGGGACTTGGGAGTAGCATTTCAACAAGCATAGCTGTAACACCAGAAACTCCATCAAGGATGATATATTTCTTGAGGGTTAAGTACATAACTCTTATAAAGCCCCCAATATACCACTTGACTAGAGAAGCCTTTCCGTTAGAGCGAAAGACTAGTACACCAGAGATCCTGGGTTTGATCCTTAGCGGAGGCTTTAATAAAATGTGACCTCTGTGACATATTTTATTCTTATTTCCATGTGACTCCGAAACTACTATACGTTGTCTATGTCTTGGTTCTATGTCTCTCATTTGTGATCTTCCTTGTTTAATAGTTTTGCTACTTTCCCGCATCTTCTTCCGCACCCACGTTTCCATCACTTGTTTCACTTTCACCTGCATGTCAATTGAAAGTCAAAAACAAGATTAAAATATAATGTTCCCTGATGCATTACTACTATAACTTAAGGGAGCCTTTACAAGTGACTGGTGATATAGTGACTGGGTTTATTTCTTTTCACTTGTAAATAACTATCTTACAATTGGCCGCATTCACTAACAAGCGTTCACTTGTTCATTCTGTTGTCAATTAAGTTATAGTTTTATTTCCTTTACATGTACACAAGTAAACATCAAAGTAAAGAGTTTAAAGTTCCCTGTGTTACTGATCCTAACAAATTTTACTTGGTAATGAAATGATATAGTCACATTTAATATGTATAAAGTTACGACCAGATTTAGAATCAAGCTTCTTTATAATGAATGTATCTTTGAATAACCCTTTTGTAATATAGTAAGCTCTGCAACACTGACCGTCATGAATAATGGTAATATAATGAATGTCAAAAAAGGCGATAATTGTTATCGCGACAATGCACTGTTCAATCTGGCTTTCAAAGTGATATTTATAATGAAGCCTGGTTTTATCTGAGCTTTAACACCGTATGGTGACGTTGTATCCCTGGTAAGTCTACCCTTCCATGGGATCGATTTCCAATCCTCATTCCAGAACACACAAGGGTATTAACTGATAAAGGTTTGGTCGATTTGTACTGGATGTGTATTTTTGGACACTGTGTGTACAGCATATAATATTATGTTCGATATACTTTCATGTTGGACTGCTCTCGGTTTTGTTTCCATATTTTATTGACTACCACTTACTGTGTATTGTCATCAAGGTAGAACTTGTATACAGTACAGCCTACCTCAATGTGTTGTCCCAGGCCATTGGGAGTGTGTCGCCGGTTTTGAAACCTGAATTGGTTACACCGACGGATATGTTTTACCTGGAAATAATCGATAATTGTAAATAATATATTGGATAAATTTCCAGTTATTTTAACAAAATTGTCACCATGGTGTCTGTCAACCGGGATGTAATGCTTGGCTAGGTCTCACTGAACCCTTACACTAGCGTGGCTTTTGTATGTGATATCGACTTGACTGTTATGGCGTGTGTTGTGATGTTCGGGTACTGTCATGACGGAATATTGTGTTACTTGTAAAGATGAAAATGTCTGTCTGGAGCACGGACGCTGGATGGGAGTTGACATGTCCAGCCGTCCTGTCACTCTGTGTACGCGGAAACACCTGGACGCCTTTGATAACATACTTGATGTAAGGCAAAGTATTGTACACATACGTATGATCTATTTGAATTCTTATTTGCATATACCTTTGATATCTCTCATGTGTTTATATCGATCTTTAGGTTCTTTTTGTATTTGCTTAGAACATTTACCAGTCTTGAGTCTATGGCTGGGTTAAGGAATCACTATGATGTGTATGTAGGTGATTTAGCTTTCGCTTATGATGCTATGTGTATACTAACGTTCGGTTGAAATATGTAAAAGACTTCTTTGCCAGTCTTTGTTAAATCAGTATGACCGGTAATGTCGTTGTTTGTTAGTCCTTCATATAGAATATTAGATATTTCTTTACACACTTTTTCCTTTTAAATATGAAATCAATATATTGTCCTTTCAAGACGAAGATATTGTGCATTAATTTCCTGTATGACATACCCTCTTTGTGATCCATTTAATCATTCTCGTCTTTCTTGTGACAGTGTTTAATTGTTCGACACGTTAAAAATGTATACCATATCAAAGACAGAATAAGTTATGTATAGGACGTGTACATATTTGTTTTGTATTTCATATATACTACATATTTAACTATACTTTATGTTATGGCGACCAGTTGGTGATCTGGCCCATTTCACGTGTTGTAATGCCCAAAATGATAGCCTTTAAACAGCCTGATAGGAATATCAATATTTTTTTTTCTAAAACAGATTTAATTAAAGCTACAGACGTGTAAACAACAACATAAATATTCCCAAATCAATTTAAATCTCAAGAATTCATACCAGTAGTAACACGTTTTCAGTGTTTTTAATTAAACGAAATATGCATATTTTCCTGAATGTATATAGATATACGCGTTGGCATGCCATTTAAAGGTTACGAAGTTTTATATCGGGAAATTTACAACGTGTGTAAAGTACATCTCGAGGGCATTAACTGTAAAATCTGAGTGTCTTCCTAAACTGGATCCTATGTTAAACGTTACCCTCTACTGTCAGTGACATTAAAATCTACATTAATACAAATCACCATGTTTTAAAGGTGAACGTCATGCGATTTATTGACGTTCATCACTTGTGTGCCTAGGACCATTATTTGATATGATGTACATTACTATACTACAGTGCAGTGATCTGATACAATATTGTACGACTGAGATTATATTACAATGGTCTTTTTGTATTGTGTTGACTTTTTTCCATATCTACTGTTACAAAATAAAGATTGCATTTGTCCGTCTGCATTTTGCCTGTACTGCAGCCATTTACAAAGAAGGCAATATCCGTTTGTAAATAGTTTTTCAACTGGAGACTTTCTCGGTATTTGTCTTGGTAATCTAACAGGTTTTATTCATTTTTGTTTACTTTATAGACCATGAAACAATCTTTAATTTAATATGAAGGCAGTGTTTTGGCATTTCCACTTATTTCGTTAAATAATGGACAAATACATCCGTAATTAACTGATGGAATGTTAGCAAACGATATCTAAGATTTACGGCGCCTGTTCATTCGTGTTCGTATATATATATAACAAATCAAATAAGCGTACATACAAACCACCGAACTTATTGAGTTATTTGCAATTTCATGTATGTCATAAAATTTTAAAAGCAGAAAAAAATTGATCTTTCCGTACATACAATCTCTTGTATATGTCTACTTATAGACGTTATTCTTCGTTTTTCTTCCTTGTTTGCAACAACGTGCATTCATGTTTTAATCGATACTCATATAATCTTCGCTGTTCTGGAAAAGATGATAAAAATATTAGATGAATTTAATCATGGGGTCATGCACTTTTCCATCTGGAATTTGGCATATATTTTAACCAGTTTTGAATTTCGTCCGAGAGGGACGAAACAGATGTATGATTTTTTAATCACTATACTGTATCTTAGTTTTAATGTGTATTGAAACGTATTGCTTACTTTGTGCTCTTGCACAATTATGTACACTTACACAATTATTTTAATATGTGAGGTTGAGTGATGTCCTTTTTTCTGACGGTATGTCGTTTTATGTGTATAATAGGTATTGGAATATGTTTCGGTCTTGTTTACATTGTTTTCCTATGTATCACAGCAGAAATGGCTTAAAAGTGTTCACTAGTGTGGAACGTGCCCTGTAGGCTGAAACGATGTTCATCAAGACACTATTCAATTGTCATACTTGGTCACTAATGGTCTCCTGTGTTAGTACAGACTATGGCCCAGAGTGTGGGTCATCAGAGGTCATTTTGACGGTTTTTAGGCGGAGCAGATACAGATGTGAAGGCATTGCATAACATTACCTATATAAGAAATGATACAATATATTTCAGCTTCTGGACATTCTACATCCACAGATTTACATCAAGGCTCGATGAGCTTGTAGAAAACGTGACACTACCCAAATTGAAACATTTTTGTGAGGAAATCTTCGCTTGCATCGCAAATATATATACAAATTATGAATCAAACGTTTTTGCAAAAGCCTTCCTCTTTGAATTGCGTTACATGTGGGATGTCCATATATCGTGATCGATCGTGTTCACTTCACATAATAATATCGAGTACAGTTTATTACATATTCCAGTGGGGATCATAGCTATATTTGAGCCCCATATGTGGATAGATATCTATGTTATTTATATACAGTCACTTTGCGTCTTTTTCATAATTGCATAGCAAACAATACGCGCATACTTGTCAGCGCAGCAGAAATATTATGTAACTTTAATGAGGTTGTTCGTAGGTGTTGCTTCAGTGATCGTAAATTGTATAATGATACAGTCAAACCAAGTCTTTATGTTAGTGCAATGCATTTAAGGCACAGTTGTTGTTTGAATATTTTCAAATGTACTCAAAAGTTTTGCATCTCCATGTATTGTTTATATATGTCATGCTCGTGACTCATGTTATTTTTCTTTGGTTTACAGGATTTCGAAAGGGAAGCTGAAACGTATAGACAGAAAATCAACGTACTTCCACCAATCAGTGAAGAGGCTGACAATGACATCATCGATGACGAAATCGAAGCTCTCGAAGCGAAGTACAAAGATATTTCCAGAGATTGCGCCAAACAGTTAGATAAACTATCTTCAATAATGAAAATGAAGAAAACCTTCGATGATCTTAATGATAAACTAAATGGGATGTATCCCAGTATTGAAAACAAATTACGTGGTATTAATGACGAAGAATTCGGGAAAGTGCCGGAAAGAGATACAAAAGATTTGTATACATTAAAGGACCTTAAAGCCGAACTTATCGGCCAGGAACGTCGCCTCAAAGACATTACGCAAATGGGTGATAAGTTAGGTAAAAGCCTTAATGATATGAACATGAAGAAAAAGTCAGATGAAGTGAGAAAAGCAGTGCAAGATCACAAACAGATTCATGAGGCGCTGCAGAAGGACATTACAGACAAGGAGGAACAATTGGACACAGCAGTTTCACAACAACAGAATGTATTAAACCGCCTTGATGGACTCTATGAATGGATGACAGAGTGTGAAAATATTCTCAACGAGAAAAAGCCGATAAGTTTAGAGAAAGATCGAATGGCTCATCAACTTAAGGAACAAAGACTAATGAATGCAGAAATTGAAAGCAATAAGACTTTATTAGAAAGACTCTCAACAGAAGCCGCCGATATGTCAAACGGGGATGATGCACAGAAGACTGTGTTTGATCTTTCAGAGAGGTAAGAAGTATTGTAAAGTAGATGTTATTCATAATAAGCTGACTTGACTGTCAAACGTGGTCATAGTTTGAATAGTGGTAGCGGTCACGGAAAAAATGATCGTAGTAATGTCTATACTATTTTCGGTAAAAGCAAAAGGAAAAAACAATAAAAACACCAACATGTCAACAGAATCATAATAGTAATTTAAATACAAAAAAGTTAGGACAAAATATGAGCAAAAACAGATTTACACGGAAACTCTTGAAAAGTACAAAATGTTTCAATCCTTTTAGTGTAAAAACAATGTCTTTCATATTATGAACTTTATCTGACCAAAAATGATTTCATAATATGGCATATCTTAAAGGAGTACATTTCCGATGGGCAGTTAATCACGTTTTGTAGAAAGTTCATCAAAGAACATTAAATGTGTTTCAATAGAATCGTGGATGTGGAAGGGAAGGCACAGAACTCTACATGTCAGCTAGAGGATGTGGTAGGCATGGTGAATGATCTTGAGGCTAACATTGGTCAGATGGACGGTTGGCTGACCGATTCTGTTGCCTCCCTTAAAACCAGGAACAGGGGTGCTAGTCAGAAAGCAACTAAAGCACGAGTGGACGAACTTTATCAGGAAAAGCGAGAACGAGAAATTGACATGGAAAATCTTCGGGCAGCTGCTAGCCGTGTGATGGATGATGAACGGGTATGTGACCAGTTCGCCATGAAAGAATGCCTTGGTGAGGTGGAAGGCAAGTGGCATGAGCTCACCGAACACCTTGTGCAACAAGTTTCACTAGAGGTACGTCATCAATACCTAATACGTCATACGATTTGAACATTTGGTTATCAGTATTGTTTACATCGATGGAAGACACATTTAACGCCCCTCTCTTATCCTGCTAATTGTGTAAATTAATTGTTAAAGTGAAACAAATTACATTAATGAATGAAAGGTTGATATGTCTCTTCATCTTATTTCCTGGCACTGCCGACATTTTCATTTAAATGTTGCTGCTTGCATTGTACTGGATTACATATATGAGTTATCAAAATGTTGTAAAAAAACAACGAACAATCAATAGAAAATGATATATGTTTTTCTTGATATTTTGTTGGATCATTCGTTCCGCGACATGTGGACGATTAGATCCAAACCCGCCACTTTATTCTGCAATGAAAGCATGTTTGGGTCTATCACTCTTTACAGGCATTGACAGAAATTGACGGTATGCTAAAATACTTAGACAAGGCTGAAAATGAAATCAACACAGCAGAACCGATCAGTATAGAACCGGAAACACTTACTGTGCAGTTGAAAGATCACCTTGTGAGTAGAATTGTAAATCATATTTCCATTATTTTGAATAGAATGTTGGTTGCATCCGTCGTGAAAACGCATTAATGATTCATCCGCTTTATCATTAAAGCAATGTTTTTTCTGCTGCGGAAGTCAAGTCAATACGTTACGGTATCATGTTACGGAACCATCAGCGATGAAATGCGTATTCAGGAACAATTCATAAATTAATTCTATTTTTGACCGATATACGTGATTTACTTACATAATTTCCTTTTTCAAAGAAACATTCTCTATTTACGAGTTTCAAATTTGAAAATATAATAACCAGTGACACAGACCGTCGTTATTTTTTAATGTTTTTTGATGCTGTAAAACCATTAATTTTCGAGTGACTGCAAATTCGTTATTTTCTTTTCAATCACCTTTTCGTGAGCAGTTCATCTCGAAGAAAAATTGAGCACAAGGATGCAAAAACCACTACAGTCTTTTTATCAGTTAATGAATTCCTGGATATAATTAATTCCTGGATATAATTAATTCCTGGATATAATTCATGGTTTAGGACGAAAACAACGAACATAAAATCCCTCAAAAATGAATTATTGTACAGTTCGCGTCCATGATAGATAGAAAACAATAGATTCATTCATCAATCAATTTGACATTATAACCTCTGTTACATAATTTTGTTGTAGTCTTTTAACGATGACCTGAATCAAAAACGCAATGCGGTGAAGGACATAATCAACAAATGCAATAGAATGCTTCGTGAAACGACAAACTCACAAACGGATGAGATAAAAACAAGATTGGACAGTATTCGAACTCAGGCCGACATCGTGTGTCAACTGAGCGCTGACAGGTTGCATCAATTGGAAGCTGCTTTGCCATTGGCCACACACTTCAGTGAAAATCAGACAGAAATCCAAGGATGGTTGGATGAAATGGAGGCGGATATAAAATCACAAGGAACGCCCGGGGAAAATCTGGAACAAGTCCGGAAGCAGCTGGATAATCTTAAGGTAAATTTATGTCAGGTTTTGTACTTGATCAAAGAGGTTACATAGTCTTGCCTAATTGATTTTCAGTGATGAAATGTTTAGTTTGCTCGTTCTCAGAACGGTAAAACCCATTCCACTACCAACTTGTTTCAACTGTTCTTCTGTAGTATCCGTGATTTGTTATGATTTAAGTTTCTTATGTCATGATGTTAATGGAAATGTTATGTAGTTGTTGGCTAGACTTCAGTGAGACATGTCTTCAATTCTCATTATTCTCTACACAGAGTTCCCTGCAGAAGGTGGATGATCATAAGCCATTTATTGATGATCTAAACGATACCGGCCTGGAGCTCATGGAATTATGTGGTGATGATGATGCTGGAGAAATTCAGAACAAACTGATTACTTACAATGGACGCTATGAGAAGCTAAAAGGACTTTCAAAAGAAAAGGAACAGGAATTGACAAAGTCACGAGCTCAGATGACCCAGGACGTGTCTGATTCACTGGACAATCTCTTAGACGATCTTTCGAATCTTAACAGGAATATTACCACTGCTAACCCGATACCAGCCAATCCTGACAAACTCAAAGATGAGCTGAAAGAGAACCAGGTATGACACTTAGAAATACACTTAGCCTAGAGATGGGTGTTCAAATCAAATTACTGAAACTGTCAATTCACTGGTGAATTAACAAATGAAGTTGAAACAAATTATTAATATTTTCTTACTAATTGGTAACGTAATTATTTCACTGTACTGATTAACCGTATGACAGGACGGCTGATCTCTGAAATAACTTGTACATTCTGTATTACAATTCTAAAATTGTATAAAAGCATCTTTTGATTGATGTTGCGTTTTTATACGTCTATACTGTCTTTCAAAAAGGTTTAATTTGTTACTTAGATTAATTAATTGATATTAATAGATAATTGATGTTTATGCTGCGTATTAGAAGATATTGTCATGTTTATCTCACTGCTTTTAAAACAGGTGCTGATGTCTGACCTTGAGCGCCTGAAACCTTCTCTGGTCAGTGTGGAAGAGTCGGTAAAGAGGATGTTGTCACAGGGCGTGGATGATCAAACTGATGGTAAGTACCAACACCTATAAAATATTTTATCATAGTGTAAAATAATATTACTGTTCATCAGTTGATAACATATGTCAAATGTTTTTGCCTTCTTCGCTCCTTAATTGTCACTTAATTTTCCGTCGTGAACGCTCAACCACTTTTATTGGAGCAAGTTTTCGGAAGAAACTGGCAAATTTGGAAAGTTGAAATGCATTTTCATTTTTTAATATTATGCCAGTTTATTCTGGTAATTACGCTATAACTCTTTTTGATACCAATGTTTATCAACACTCAAAAGCAAAAGCGATATCTAATGTTTCTAAACCTTAAGGAACATTATATTTCGTCCTCGGTTTCTGTATGAGGGTTGGGAATATGAGGACTTTTATAGATTATTTTCGTGCTTGCTGGATATATGATCATTGCATTTTCTTTAGCATAATAACATTTCCATTGTTTGTCCTCCCGTCCCTCCATCCATCCTCCTCTCAGTCACGTTTTTGTATATTGATTCATGCTGGTTACACTTTATGTTTCTAGTTGTTTTAGATCTAGGAAACCTATTCTAAACATAATTCTTCCATGTCTGCCTATCATCATATGCATTTTATGATAAGCTTTTGTGTTGTACGCAATTTGTTATTATTGTATGAAAGCTTTTAAATAGGTGGTGTCAAATATTTTTTTTATGAAAGTATGTCTTATTGAAATGAATTAAAATCTATGTAAAAGCAAACAGATATCCAAAATCAAAATGAATGAAAAGGGGACAAAATATGAACAAAATATCTTTTGCATTGACCAGCGATAAAGAAAACGTTTGACCTGAAGTTTGGTAAGGATTAACGTTGCCATTTGGTATTGTAGAGATGCTCATTATTTTGTGTTCGTTTTTGTTACAGGAGACGATCTCAGACAAAAAGTGACAGAGATAGCCACCCTTAATAACCAAATCAGAGAGGGGACTTTAAAACGCGACAGGGCACTTCTTGAAGCATCTCAGGTAGCGGACAGATTCTTTGATGTCTGTGCGGATACCATGTCAAACCTACGAGACCTTAAGGATAACCTTTTGTCACAGGAACCGCCTGGTATTGATCCTGCTACAGTCAAAGAACAACAAAAGGAATTAAAGGTGAGTTTGTATATTTTGTTCATTCTTTAAAAGTGCGAAATTCTTTGCCTGTATCTTTGCATTGGATTTTTAACTTTTATATCATCATATCAAAGATATTTGGAAAATGTTTCATAAATTGATTTAACCATGTTTAGGAACTCCGTAAGGAGTTGGGGAAGGCTCGATTGTCCCTTGAAGAATGTCGAGAATCAGGTGAAAAATTAAGTGGACTCTGTGGCGATCCTGGACTTGTCGAGATACGGAAACAACTCGAGGACATACACAACATCGCAGATGATGTACATGATATATCTCGTGATCGTGAAGATGACCTGAAGAATGCCCTCTCTCATGCAGACAAATTCCAAAACCTCCTTGATGTGAGTGGATTTGTAGATGTTTTTAGTTATTTTTGTTGCACCCTGTAGTTTATCATCAACACATAATATATTACCTCCTAACTATGCCAAATTTCGTTTCATTAATACAATAATTAGAATTAGACGGATATGGATTAACACTGACATCGTATCTATGCAACAACTCGATGTGAAACAGTTTTTTTGGAAATGGTTGCATCCGATTTGAAATAGAATAAATTTAGCATCTGTGATATATTGGCAGATTTAAAGTTCATAATTAAAGTCATATAATTTCTTATGTGTTGTCATGAGCTAAATTCAGAAAAAAATATATGTAAATATAATTTTATTTGTAGCGATTAACTTGCACTCGTAGTTTAGTTTCAGGAAATTCTGCAGTCTAACCCTGATATTAGGAAAACTAATCACTCTTGCCCTGTAGAATGGTTAAAGTTATCTTCCCTTTTCACAACCCCTAACCTATTTTATTCCAGTCCATTACGGAATGGCTTCCCATGACAGAACAGAAGCTAGACTCCCTGAAGCCCGTGTCTTCTCAGCCTGAGGTAGTCAAACAACAAATAGAAGAACTAAAGGTACGTCGATTTTATTTATACATTATTTTTGTTTTGTATTCAGATCGTTTCATATCCAGAATTACATTTGGCAATGTCGTCATTCATACAGAACTGTGTCTTGTAACGATTGACAGTTTGAAACATTGTCGATCTGACGATACCTGAAATATATTCAGATTCACATTCAAATATCTGTATCTAAATGATGCAAAACGATTTCTTTGTGTTTATGAAATAGGTACAGGAATATATACAATATGTTGTCTGAATATTCTTAACTTAATATATCTCTGTTGATGTGATGTCTGATACCTACCTAGAATATTGATAGATTATGTGATTCAGATCTCATAAAATGTCAGTCGTCAATTATGCATACATATTTGTGAACACCTTAACAGTCCATGTCTATGTAGAAAATCTTGGTGATTTAGCATTGCGGATGTTACATGTTTGTAATGTCAGTTCTGCTGAACTGGTTGTACCACGAATTGTATATTAATATCACAAAGACAACAGTAACCTTGTTTGGAAATTTTCAAATTGAAGTGATGTTTCTTGCACAATCTGTACTTGATGTCAATGTATAATGTCATTACACAATATTGTATAAAGTTGTTGATGGAATTCCAGGTTTTTGCTGGCTTTTATGATACAAATGGGGTTAGTATGTGTAGTTCGTTTGTTCAGTTTTGTCACTCTCCCATTCTTCTTCTATTTATAGAAAAATATTTTAAAGTAAACAAAAACGAAATAAACAGAATAGAATGTTAGAAAGTTGATGTAATGACCTTTTCGGTGACCCAGGCATTTTTAGTTTCATACATGACATTCCAATCGGTAGATACGTCACAAAATGTATCTGCATGCTAGAATAGACGTGTAAGAGATTCGAAATTAATTCAACTTTCAAATTTTACTTATAGGACGCTGTAAGTATCAAAATTGTTTTGGTAGTAAGATACTTGGCTTGTATATTCTAATAAATTGCGGCAAGTTAGTAGTTTAATTTCCTAATGGTTATCATTTTTCATACTTACGGAAGCTTCAGATTCTTCAAATCAGTATTTTTGCAAGTTTTTAATTAAATTCTGTCGCTATCATAACTCTGTCTCATTATAGTTTTTTTCACTTCCGTAATTTACATACCGTGCTCAAAATGTATTTGGAGTTCCTTTTTCTTAACCTAGTTTTACGCATTTAAAAACCTTTGACAGGCGTTGTTTTAATATTTGCAGTCATGATACAGTTATATCTTATTAATTGATAGAGGTTCTGTGATGCTTTTTGTATTTTTATATTAGTAATAACATGTCTTGCTCACGTTTGTTGATATGTTTGTTTTGTGTATCACGTTATGATGTGTATTAACATATTTTGATACAACAAATGTTTCTTTCTGTTGACTTCATGATTACCTCTATCATTCAATTAATTAGTCTTCTTAGATCTTGTTCTTTCAATCCCCACATTGCACACTTTGTAATTATTTAGGATAACGATACGCATGAACAAGATTAGTAGAATTTTGCATGCTTAGTCCCCCAATTCCACTTTGATGCATGTGTATACGATATCGATTCTGACTTTCATTTGACATTGCAAAGATAAATCAAACTTACATCAGATATGTTAGTAGATGCATGTATATCAAATATCATGACCCCGCTATAATGAACTTTGAACCTTGCTATAATGAATGCAGAAATACTTCTGAAAACCTTCATGAATATGGCATTATTGATTGGAAAAACACTCAATGGACTCTTATCCATTTTGTTTTACAAAATCTAAACTATATTGATGTTTAACTTCTTGGTGAACATGAGTAACTTTTATGTATTTACGAAATGTTACTCTCGTTTTCAAGATATCGATTAAATTTGATCTTCAATGAGATATTGCTTTTGTTCATAAACCACGTTCACGTTCACTTATACCAAGGTTCGAGTAAATGATTATCATATAAGCTGCTAGAATAGACTTGTCCATTGTATCTACATACTTATATCAGTCATAAGGAATCGTATCTTAGAATAGTTTGAATTCAGACAATTTTTTATACGAAACTGAGTACGAAAATACAAATTCTATGTTCAAACATATTTTCGTTATCAAGCTTTGCGAAGCTGCAATGTTCTTCGCTTATTTCATTCTATCGCTTTCCTTCCATTGTGAGAGTCATACATCTTTCTTTGTCTTCTTTCTCTTCAAATTAGCGTCTCTCATGTTTATAATTGCAGAAGTGTTCAGTTGCCATCAATTCCAAACGTATTTTACCTTAACTGTTCTCTTCTTCAGGTTTATTACATTGAAATAACAACATTTTCTTACGAACTTAGTTTGCTTATTCACAGTTTTCAAAATCCCAAATCCATCCACACGTAGTCGATATGCAGCAGTTGAACCAAGAGTTATCTACCCTGAAAGACATGTCACCAATTGCAGCAGAGTCTCTACATCGACCGGTAGAGGATGCCAATGGACGATGGAATGATGTCTTGAAAAAGATCGCTGATAGGGAGGTATGAACACACTGTTCCCGATAGAAAATAAAGAAACGTCCGTTGAAGAAAAAAATGAATAAACGATCTCGTTGAAAATTTCAATCAGCGTCTGTATGTGAGTAATTAGTGATGTTCCGGTAAATATTAAAATAAAGGTTTTATTTAGCAGATTTGTATAAACTGTTTGTGTTAAATTGTTATTTTCAGGCAAAGTTAAAAGCCATGCAGTTGAAGATAGGAGAAATAGAAGAAGGAATGGATGAAGCTATAGACTCATTGACGCGGGTTCATCAAGACCTGACTGGTTTTGATGACGTTTCAGGGGATCCAAAATGTCTCGAAACACACATGAAAAAATTACAGGTAGGCGAACATACTAGAAATATTTAAACTGGACTGGAATAATGTAATTCTCTTTCAAATGTAAGCGCCATTAAAGCAGTTAGTTTACTTTAGAAATATCCAGTTACATATGTTCGTAAACTAATCATGTTGTCATTTGCTAGACATTGAATATTAACTGTAAAATTGCTTTTCCGTGAACGTCTATTTAAAATGTGTCCCATTAACCTGTTGTCATGCATTTACATTCGTGCTTAATTTGAAAATAAAAATTGAAAAATTGTCGAAACATATGACACATATGTGCAATAATTTGCAATGTTTCTGTTCACATCACAGTTACAACTAAGTGATCTGAAAGCCCAGGAGACCAACTGCAAAAACCTAAGCAATGCTGTCACTAAACTTCTATCACAAGATGCGGAGGATAGTCCTGCACTGAAGGAGAAACGTGACGTCATGAATGACCTTATGAGAGCCGCTCAGGCAAACGGAAAAGACAAAGAAGCAAAGCTTCAAGAGAGTCTCAGACAGGTATGCGTCACACTAGTCTTTCATGTCACATTTTCTTACATAAAGTAAAAGTATTGAAAGCTAGACAAGACGTTGGCTATGCTTTAATGAAATATTACTAATAGCCTAACTTAATAGGACAATAATTCGGTAATTATCCTTACGATATCGATGCCTAACTAACTGGTGAAATGAAACGATATTTTCACCTTCCAACTTACATAAGATTGGATAGTTTCGTTTTCTCTGTCTACGTGCTACCGCCTACCACTAAGTCTCATTTGACCAACGACAGGCAGTGTTCTTTCGTCGTCGATATATCACTAACATTAATGTTCTTTATCATATACAGGTTAAGAAATATCTGGGCGATGTAGACGACCTTCTACAATGGGTAAACGACCTGAGAATGGAACTCAAATCGGCCTCTCCTTTTGGTGCACTTCCGGAAACATCCAAGGTTCAATACGAGGCTTATTTGGTAAGAACATTATACTTGCTGGTAGTTCAACAGTTGTTGAAGAGGTTAGTTATGATAAAAACTTAGTATCTAACAAAGACACATAGGAATAAGCTGATTTTGCATTACCTCAAATAGCCCATTTAATGTTGTTTCAGCTACAAAACCGTCACCAGTAAAGGTGATTGCTTAAATGAAATGCAATTAATGCTTAATAATACATATTTCGTGTAATAATTGATTAAATTCATAATTTAATATAGCAAGCATGAATTGAACAATCACAGTATCATATAACCATTAAGCAAGTGATTGAGGTCTCTCAGGTATTGAGAAAGATCAGATCTATTGCCTTTGCATATATTTGATGCATGTATCTTTAATGGTTGCGAGGAGGTGGTGAACTTCAATATATAACTTATTGTATGTAATTTGCACGATATAGGCCCGCTACGAAGCATTAAAAGACAAGGATGAGTTAAGTCAGGCGCTGATTGCCAAGGGTCAGAAAATATGTGAAAAATGTGACCCTGAGGACGTTACGCAAGTCACGGACCGGCTCCGGAAGTTGAAAGACAGATGGAACGATACCAAAGACCGGGCACAAAAACGAAAGGTACATATTATCATTGCATTTCTTAGGGATAATACAGGGATCAATGGCCTGTTTATCGGCTAAATGTAGAAAATCAGCCATTCGAACATGGTGATTTAAATTCCATGGTTGCGCATTGCATATCATGTTTATCTCATGATTATGATGGAATATCAATATTTTTCTCGAATTTTTACTTATTTTATCATACTTGTGAAAAATATGTAACGTTAAATAGGAAGCTATTTTAATTGCAAATCTAATGCTGGTTCGCAAAAGGAAAGATATTCATTATATATTTCTTGCATAAAACATTTTTGCCAAGAAGACGAGATTGCCGCTACAATGTTCCAATCTCGTGAGTGTCACTAAGTGATAGATGCATTTGTATTTATTGATAAAATGGTATTACCTCTAACGTCGAACAGAAGCGCATGCAGTCCTTTTCTTATTTACATATACATTTAGGACACATGATAAATTACTTTGGATACTTTATTAATTTATATGTTTTCTTTGTTGTAGGAAAAGCTCTCAGAACATCTTGAAAATGTAGACGAGTTCCATGGCACACTTAAAACATTTACTGATTGGCTAAATAACGCCGAGATTGCCATGCGTAACTTTAAATATCCTAGCAAGCTAGTAGATAAAGTCACACTACAGCTGGACGATCACAACGTAAGTAAGATAGGGGTGTGAATGGATTCTGACATAGGGTATTCCCAGAAATAACGGCGATTCCAATAGAGATTATGAAAAAAAAATCTTGTATTGCATACTCATTCTTATTGTTTTTTAGTGTTTAGGTTGATAAAAATAAAAGAAACAAAAACAAATCAAATAAATATATACAACACAATTTTAGTAGACTCTTTTCTGGTCAAAACCGCTCTTTGCTGCAGTTGTAATATTTGAGGTTTTTTTTCGTAAAATCGTCGTGGTGACTGCGATTACCATAAGTTGCCAAAAAGCCAAAAAAATAACTCTCCGATATTTATTTTTAGAAAATGAAAGAAGAGCTAGACCAACATTCAGAGCGGATGCAGACACTTGACAGAACTGGAAGTTATCTCAAACATTTCTGCCGAAAACAGGACACAATTTACATTAAAAATCTTCTAGTAGGCATACGACTACGATGGAAGAAACTTCTTCGCAGAACTGACGAGAGAGGGCGTCTTCTCAAGCATGCGTATAGAGAGGATAAAAGGGTACGTATGAAATATTAAACACTTATGTAAATATAAATTTGATATAAAAAAATCAACAGGTATTTAAGATAGATATTATCTCTGTAATTCAGAAAATTAATGGTATTAATATGTTATTTAATACAGATTTATTCATAGGTAGCCTATTTTAAATATAGAACATTCCAAATATAGAATAATATCAGAAATGATTTTACACCTGTTGACATTTTCATAATATACAGGTATTTAAGTCACTGAATGAAGTCGTCTATCTTCAGGCCATAGGTCTGGTTAGAGCACATGAGCTGTCAGTGTTTCTTAATCTCCTGTTCTGTCATTGTCTTTACTAGTTCTACGATGCCTGGAAGGGTCTTTGTGATTGGCTAGACGAGAGTTCAAAGACGGTGTCAAAATTTATGTCGCCTGTGGCCCAAGGGTCAGCTACGAAAGAAAATATTGATGACTTAAAGGTGAGTTACCGCTATGTATGTGCAGTTGTAGAAATATGGTGGAATTTAAACTTATTTATTGTGGATTTTAAAGAAAGTAGTAAAGTATTCCCAATGAGTGATTCCAAGGAAAACAAACGTTCAGTCCTGGATTAGAAGGAACCGGTTATTCTTTAAAACCACAGAAGTCGGTCATCATTGTAAGTAGCTTGATATAGAATAAACAACAATATTATATAATACATCATAGTACTTTGAAAATAGAGAAAACTTCAAGAACTATCAAGAACTAGTTTACTTGATATTATCATTTCAATATTATTTCATTTACAACACAGTTTGAAAGGAATTTATGTAAACAGTGAACAGTATTTACTCGTTTGTATGCTAATAGAAATATATATCCACTGAAAGAGCTGTATTATCTATTTGAATATGTATTTGTACATATATAGATTTCTGGAAATGTTATATACATTTGTATGATTGTCAGGATTGTATATAAACCATACGAAGTTTGCAGTCATATCATTTAATTTGGTGACAGTAAACACGGTTTATATTTACCAACACTACAATTCTCCATCATCGTTTCAAATACAAACACCCATTGTTTCAAGACAGTACAAAACAACAATGAAGCAAATAGGAACAAGGCGTGCCACTGTACCTCATCAAATATTATTGTTTGAAGTATGATAAAATCACGCATGCAAAACGTATGGAATAACAATAAGCTAACATTATATTATTGCATAATTGTGATATGCATATTATATCTAAATCGCACGTGAAACAGCAATGGTACCCTATAGAATGATACCATCAATAAATGAATCACAAACACACGAACAATATGATACAAACATGATGCATTAAAACTGTACATAATATTAGTATTATATTCTATAAACACGTGCCATTCAGTCAATTCTAAACAACTGATGTTCACTTTGAACAACGGGAACTCACATTTGCGAAATTACAAAATTTGTTACCTGATAAAAGTATGTGAAATTGCTAGAAATGAAAACGTGACATTCAGACAGAAGTTACAAGTGTAATAATAATTGGTAAATTAATAGACAATACCATATAAACAACTTTAGATCTACTAACACATTTACATGCAATTTCCAGAAAATATTTGCTGAGGCATTTCATCAGGTATTTAACTTTTATCAAACTAGGTGAACGTGCTTTTCCCATCACTATGTTGTTGTTTCAACATTTTCATTTTTCTTTTCGTGTGGGAAGCGTGTAAGATCCTTCATTGCGAAGGATCATTCCATTCCTATATTGTGTCTTCAACATTTATAGTTATGGTTTCTTATGCTTATGTTATTTGTCCTTGTATAACAATCATTTTTTTTAAAATTAATTTTGATAAACTTTGATAATATAATTTTATTTTTTTTTGTTGTTATTCATTCACCAGCCATTTTTGTTGGAGTTCTTAATATGTATCCATAAATCTTCTGCTTACGTGTATATATGTGTGGTGTAGGTGTCATTGTGTTTGTACCGACATCAATGTTGACATATTAATAGCATTCCTTTTTGTCATCAATATATTGATACGGGACATGTGTGTATGCTTACCTATTAATTGTTTGTGTATTCTCGATGTCTTATGATCAAATAGATGATGTTTTGTGTGTGCTCTAAATCTTCGGTATCACAATACGTCTTCCTGAGATGTATTATAAAGACCCTTCATAATCGTAAAATTATTTCTTTGTGCATATTTTCAATCTTTACGCGACGTATCACAATATTGATGAATTAAAATTGATATATACAGCATAAGCATAGGTACGCATGCTATTCAACATTTGGCGTACCTTGGGTTCACTAAGCTGTTATTGAGAAACGGAAGGCGGTATGTTTAATGTTGTGTACAGATGTATAGATCCTTATGTATGCTACAACGGTATCGATCATATTAAAAGTATACTCAGAGTCACAATTGATAAAAACGGTGTCACAATGTTACCATTTTATCAATCCATCAAACTTTCATAAGAGTAACTATCTTCATGGGCGGCATTTAAAACCTGTAAATATGTTTACAATTATTCATCTGTTTGAATAAACCACTTATTCCTTTCAATGATATTCAAGCAATATTTGCTATGATTTAATTATCATCGCATATACATACACTGCTAGACTTTTCCTTTCTACTATCCAGAATGCGACCAGATTATTACAATTGTATATATTCATATCCATTGGGCATAAGTCGTATTACCCTATCATCAAATATTCATAATAAATTAAATAATGATCATACTCTTTTCCACAGACACATAAATTTATCAAGACTATTATTAGATACGTTGAAAAGGCATTTGTGGCCTTTTCATCGAGATCAGTAAGTCTTTCAACACATTTCCTCAATAGAATAAAATCATTCCTTGATTTGTTAATAGACAATATATGTTAACCCAGGACGAATTTACTACTATAGTATCCTTAACTCAATCTCTGTGTTGATACAAACTTTCATAAGTATTGTCATCTCAAATACTACATATTTCTGGTATTACAAATTAATTAAGCTTTACAAGCGACAAATTTAATTTTCTTCGTCAGAGCATGTCATTCGGTCAAAAGCTGTTGCAACTGCTTCTACAAAAATAGTTTTAAAAAAGTAATTGTGAATCATATTTAATATGATTGGAGATATTACCCTGAAAACTGCACAAAGCTAACAGTTTCACAGAGCCGCAGGCAAGTTCATATGTTGACACGGTATGGTCATCTCTCTCAACAATATTGGCCTTTCTCCTTGGACGTCCTATCGCACAGCTTGGACAAAAGCGACCGAATGTTTTAAACTTCCTGTCACGCATGCGTTGTTTTTAACAATAGCGTTAAGTTGAGAAATCTTTTTTTTTTCTTTACAAGCTTTACTGTATTTGGTCTTAACGTAGTTTGTGTTTATGGTAGTGCATCAGATAAGTTTTAAACCCCGGAGGTTCACTCGTGTAGAAGAGGTGTTCATGCATCGTTGAACATGCTTTCTGATTGGTTGATGACCAGACTTTCCACAAACAGACTAACTTAGGTGTATGTTTCATGGCTGTGATGGAATCCTAAAGGAACACTGGTTGTATCTCTCAAACCAACTGACGGGATTTTCTTTAAACCTGGATTTACGCAATTGTGCTTAAGGATTTCTTACCTAGTTTGAATATTTGTGATATTTTGTATGTACCAAACAAGTCTTAGATATACAGGTAAGTTATATATTTCTTAAACAGGTGTGGTTGGGTTTAAGCCTCTCTTATTCATGCATAATTACCTAGGAATCTCACCTGTATCTCGTTGACCTACATTGTAAACATACATCGTTTGGTTTCTATTTGTTCCTCGTGTTTGAAGGAGGTATGTATTCATCCTAAACAATGATTCATTGACAGATGTAAACATTTGCTACGATTTCGATTTGATGTTCGGAAAATAAAGATTCAAATATACATCTTTGTCGTTCGTTATGGAGAAAACCCATTGTGAGAAAGTTCTGTTTTTGTCATCCGAATATTCGCTTTTTTTTACTCTTAAAGTTAACTGTGGATAGATAAGGAAGACAGTCATCTTAATATTGTTTACATTCTGTTTTCTTGTAAAGTATTCTTTTATTTGTTTAAATTATTCGGACATAATCATAATCCTGACCATTCTGTTGCACTGTAAGAAATTAAAATCCATTTAGTTCCATGTATACAACGCATCTTAACGTAAAATATAACACATGTAATTAATCACCTGTTACCTGTCCTGACACCAGGCAGACGAGCACGAGACGAGCATGTTTGACCTTGAGTCTAGTACAGTAACCGTTGTACTAAATGCAAGCGGCGTGTAGTCTACTAGGATACTTAAGAAAGTGATATTTAAGACATATCCCCTAATTAAAAGCACGAAATGACAAAATCGAATAGTGGCACGGTTTAGAATGTACATTCATACTTGACATTCTTCTAAAATGATCTGAGATATGAAAATCAACAAATGTATTGAAAAAAGGGCTAGTGACCATTCCTGCGTAGATTTTGACTTTTTTCAATCACTTTTGAGGTTTCTTAGTCTGTATCTAACTGTATATTAAGGCGGTATTGTATTTATATACATGGTTGTCTTTTGTACAATCTGTGTAATTCTATATGAATTTCTAAGTTGTGACATTTTTTGTACACTTTGGATATTCATATACGTCATGCTCCTGTAACAATCTCGAAAGTTTCACTCAACCATATCTAATATATAATGGACATATGTAAAATTATGCGAAACGCGTTCTATTCGTGCGTGTGCTCAATTCAAGGCAGTCTCTACCTACCTTGTTCCGTCACTCATGCAGAACAAACAACAATGGTTATAAATTACCAAATATGTGATTTGATATAATGATTGATGTTGTAATGGCCTTGATATATACTACAATTGAACACTATTGTACAGCCCGGCTGCTTAAGAAGACATGCAACATGCAAAGGACCATTTAAATACAACTCATTAAATATATGTATTGGCTACCACATACAACGTTGATCCCTAATATCTTAATTCCATTAAAAACGGTTTTTTTCTATTCAGCATGCGTCCTCAATTTACTTAACCGTGTTTGTATTTGCACGCAATATCTCAAAAAAGGTTACCCTGTCGCACGCCAAGACTTAATCAAGGGAGATCATTTGTTTTTTTCTAGTGACAAACATCGTAACTCGTATGTAGGGCAGTTGTTTTTTAACGATCTACACTGTGCTGATGTAGCAGATGTTTATGAACACAGCTGCATCATATTGATTGATCATGATGAGTAACTAGTTTCTGTGTATATGTCATTCATTTTATCCAACAGTTTATCATAGTTTACAAAAGTGATATTTAGCAAGTTGTTGTCAGTTCGACATCGAGCTTGTGATATTTGATTTCCTTTTTAGGATTAGAATCTCATGAACACGTGGTAGGTTTTGTGAAATGTAATAATGTTTTCCTTCTTATTTCTTTCTTTATTTACTTTTTGTCTTTTCTGATGTTATGTTACATTTCTTTACTTACTTGATACGTTAATGCACTGGTTTGACTGTATCGATAAATCATATGTGGAGAGTATAAGGATGAGGCGATTCGTACAGTAGTGTGCCTATCTCTATTTATCTATTTATCGATACGTGCACCAATACATTCCACTATTATGATATCATCGTACAAAACGTATGATTGTAACGATAAAAATGATACTCCCAGCCTTAAACAATACTTCCCAGATAAAAAATTAATCAGATATAATACGTCATAGTGTTATCGAGTTTACATAGGCAGTTCCAAATAATATCTTAACCAATTGAAGTTTGAATTTTCATTTTCAACCAACAATGTGTAGTTTATTATCTATCAATCAACATTTAAATCACACAACTATAAGTAATTGATATACAAGGTATACATTTGATTTATTGTTGTATGTAATAACTCTATATTGTGTCGGATCTTCTACAGCGGTTCCAACACGAGCTCGCCGGTAAACATACTACATTCTACTCAGCAACACGTCTTGGTAGGAACCTCAAAGACAGGTGCACCAAATCTGACCCTGAAAGGGAGGTGCTACAGCAGATGCTCGATGACTTAAAGGATAGATGGAACTCAGTTAGATCCGTGATATCAAGAAGGTAAGTTTGTATGCATTCATGGTTTATGGTAAAACAGCGTTAAGTATCTTACACTGCTGAATTGTGACATTTTCTACAGATTATAAAGGGAACGTAGGACACAAATGTTTTCTTTCCTTAACAAAGGATGGCAATGTTAATGTTTGTAAGTGCTACATCACTTTGGCTGTCGTCCGTTTGCAATCCTCGTAAACCGCTTTCACTAACGAAGCTGAACGTGTGTGATGTTAGATAGCTTGTCTACTGGCTCTATCGTTGTATTTCTTGTTCTCATTGGAGAATGTACCATTACTTACTAGGAATGACCAAGGTTTATATGCTGTATGTCTTCGATGAAGCAGAAGACGCATACTCTTGCGGAATACCTGGTATTATTCTCCTTGTAGTTTTACATGAGTCTGCGTGTAAATCTTTCTTTTGTTGATATTTGGGAAACTGATGTCAAATAAAAAACAATAGAAAGATGAAAATGTCAATATAAGTCAGCCGAAGAAAAGCGTGACTAGAGGGCACACTTAAAAAACCTGTTTGGGAAGTAATGTTTTGTTGGAGTGTTATTGTCGGATAGTGTATCAACTGTGCCAAAAAACACGGGAGACCGAAAATAAAACTCAATGTACCGTATATTTGGTGAAGGCTGTGACAGAGCAGTTTTGTCAAATGAGAACCTTTAACCTCTATTTACTTTATGCCTCGTCTTCTTTAATAGAAAGAAGAGTCTATTGTGAAAATATAGGGATGTCGGTGTGGTATAATGTCATCGTTATCGTCACCATCTACAAAATAACTAAACTTTTTCTTCACAAACACGTTTACTACCTGCTGTAAATATCCTACTAAGTAACCATCAAAAGAACATACAGAGTTATATACGGTTCTGTAATCATTATACTCCTCTACTATATACACGCCGGGCCTCATTCGAATCTTTATAAAGAAACTGGTTATATTGAGAAATGTAATCTTTATCTAAATTTGAAAACAGCATGCATATTGTACAAATAAGAAAAGTCTTCTGATGTCACGTGTATTCCAATCATGCCCAATATTTTGTTATAACCCACATTAACAGGCATTAGAAATAGTTGACTTAATGTGTCCCTTGACTTGGTCGGAGAAAATGTCGTTTAAATGGCTTCTCTGTGAGACATTAATGTTTTCACTTTTTCTTTCAAATCTATTTTCTCATATCTTTGGTGTTTCTTCCTATAGTGATTGATAACATAAAAGTATAATATCATAAAAGATTATTATTTTTCTGTGTCTTTTTAAGCTTTACTGGACTGTCGTATTCGAAGTTATTGGACATTTTAAACAATTAGCTTAACGAGATTTTTTTCTCATATTTCTACTTTCTTTCACTTGATGTAAACTACAAATGCATTTACGGTTGCATGTTCATATGAATCATCTAGTAAAGGCTGTAAGACACGACCTGTATTGACATCCACTGAGGTCGCCAAATAACCCTGGAATCCAACACCCCATCAAGTACGTCTGTAATCATGCGAGATGACGTATCCTGTCTGGGTAACCGCGTACTCGTGTGAATCAGATATCACTCATTTTTAATTTCTGAGGATAAATTAGTACCCAAGTCGCCTCAATACTACAGGTGGTAACGATAAGAAACATATTATATATACTGTTTTGTCTGATGCTAGGAAATCTCGATATCAGTTCAGTGCCATATTTGGTAATGTTAGATGTAGCGGCTTAAGCGTATGATGTAAACGATTTGACTCTCTAAATACTAATCTACGGTGTACCAGCTACTTTCCAAGGTTTATCGTTACCTGCATACCGCGTTTTAATTCACTATCACTAGTCCAGGAAAGACGAAACAGCTGTATGACGCATTTAGAATCATTGTTTGTTTCTACAGTATCGTATATCGTATCCAAATTTGTATAATAAGGTGTTATTCACATGTTTCTTTTTTGTATAATTCTCTGTAAAACACATCTAGGATTACAATATCAGTTTTAAGTTAGTAATTTTTATAAGTCACGGAAATAGCTAGTTCTTTTCATAGTGTAGGATGAGATCGTTATATTGCTGACAAGGTTTCCGTCTATTGTCCACTTGTCTTCAAACATGGTTTCAAACATTACATTCAAGTCATGACAAGTATATGAGATTTGCCTCTAAGACGTTCTGTTCAGACAATAGGTTTATCAAAATTGTTATTACTTCACTACACGAGTCTCAGCGTATTTACTACGGGTCGTAGAAGTGCCAAAACCCGTATCTAAAAGGAAATGGTCAACATGACGGCCGGATGTAAGTCTGCCAGATAAGAGCTGGCTATGTATCCCTAAATGGTCCATAAACCCACAATTTAGCCGTTATCAACAAGCCATACTCGCGAATAAATCTACCTTCGTCGGATGTCGGTCATCAGATGTTTTCAACTTTTGCTTGTAACGCCTGTGGTGTTTATTAGATTTATCAAGACTCGTTTCCGGTATGATTTAGTCTCTGAAAATTTTGTGTAAGTCGTTATGTAATGTTGAAGTCATCTTTGTGCAATTTGTGTAGATAATGCTAACGTTACCTATATTTTTGTCGTTTTATTAGTTCTGTGGTCTTTATGTGGCACTTTATTCATTATCTGTTGAAATGGAATGTTTCTTTATCAAGGTCTTGTATCCCCTCTTTTTCTTATCTTAACGACGTTTTATTCACTGAGCTGTGTTACTGGATTTCCTTTTTCATATGTCTGGTATGATGTAGAGAGATGGATGTATCGGGTTATACAAATGGCAAGAGTAGACATTAAGAAGTAAAACATTTATCTCGTTTGTGTAGAGCATTCTGTAGTGTTGATAAATTTTGAGTAAACTATTTGTGGGTACTTGTAAAATGCAGGTGGCGAGGGTTAGTGTTGGGTACTAGTGTCAATAACTGAATGATGTATGTGTAGATATGGTTGGCTATGAGTCACCATGTCTCTGTAATGGTGTGGGAAGTTACATGTACCCATTACTGGCTTCGTAAGAGTAAAGACGGTATAATATCATTATGGTCTTATTTATAGAAAGTAGTTATTGATATGATATTCCGTCCATTCTCGTTTGCTGTTTTTCAAATGTTACAAAAAACACGAGATTTAACGAATGTTTTGGTAACTTTTAAAAAACATTCAACGGGAGTAAATATATACAACAACAGTTTTTTGGAGACATTTTTACTACAATAAAAGGGGCCACTCTATTCAAAGATGGACCATATTTTACCCATGTGTATTGTGTTCCTTCCGGCAAAAACTGTCATCGCTTCAGCCAATCAAAACGCGGTAAATGTCTATTCAACGTGTGGTATAACATTTGGATTATACAACTGTGATATTGATTGTTGCCTTAGGAGTTGAATAACACCCACATATTGTGAAAAAATAACTTACAACGTTGTAATTTCCTGTGCAATACCACAGCTATTTCTGATCTGACTCAAACGTTCAATAATTAAACATGGGAAGACATTAAATCCAGAGAAACGTATTTAGTTTACTCCTTATAAGGAGCCACTTGGTTATATGACATAAAGGTTCTCATGCAAAGCAATTATTTATTGCACTGTGGTACCTCCGAACTAACCAACATTTCTTTTGTCTGTATAATTTCAAAGTACTGGCAATATGAAATCAAAAGCTACACCAGTTATACCTATTGATACAAGAGTTGGATTGGCTTAATGTCTCTCGTCAAAAACCAGCTATGTCCCTTAACAATTGTTGAAGAGAGGTCCACTCTTAATCTATACTCGTCAACGCATTTTAGTGGGGTTATAACTGAAAAGTCGCACCCGATAACATCTGAACTCCACACAGTAATGTTCAGTTTTAAAGGACATCGAACTCTATAATACTTTAAACAAAATACAAATTGGTACTTTTGTGTAAAATACAAGCGGATGAAATCGGAGAGGTTTCAGTAAACAATGAAGACATTTTACAGTCGCCATGTTGACCTATTTTCTCTATTTTGGAAATAGGGGCATTCGATTTCTTCTATAGTCTTCTGCTAACTATTACTTTCTATATGGTGTAGGTCCTATATAGTGTAATCATTAGATTTTATATCAGGTGTGTATTGTCGACTGAAGAATTAATCTTTTACATTGTTTAGGTGGTTAGTGAAGCAAGTTGTATACGTGTTGACTGCATCTCTTAGATGATCACTAAGGTTCGTTTGTTTCCTTGTGAATAGTGTAATGTATCCAACACTTATAAATATCTAATATTGTGTTGGTATAATCTAGCAGTTATTGCTTAATATTATACCGAAAAAATATAGAGTTAATGTAACTTCCTATCTAGATTTTGACATTTCTTTCTATCACTTTGTATTTTCCTTAGTCGTCTCCTTCACTTCAAAATTTAGGTCCTTAACATCACTACCAAGTTCTAGCAGGATGAAACAGCTGTCTGATGCAGTGTTATGTATGGCACAAATGCATCGTCACTTAATATATAGTAAATGGTACTATTCACAGGTGTGTTGTATGTACAATAATCGCAAAATGTTGCTAGAAATTGTTTCTTTGTAGTCCTAACTCCTGTTCACGCTTGTAATATATGAATGGCGTACAATTCCCGTTTTCAATACCAGCTAGCTAACAGAACGTGTCATTGATCGACCTAAATCTAGCGCCTCTTTCTGTATCTAATTAATCACTGTCCACCTGGACCATAGAAAGTATTTTGACCCCGAGAACAATTCCTCTTTGTGTTCCACTTTAAAGTTCACTAGTATTGTATGCCAGTCATGTAAGGAGCACATAGAACACAGACATAGTAAACGGGTGTGCGGTTTATTTTATCTCATATGTGCTTCCTATAAAAACTACTTAATTTACATTTGTCAGTTTTATTAATAAATAAAGATCGATGCAGCATTGTGTCCAAGTATTATATCTGAAACATTGCTATTGGCAAGGAAAGGGAATAGTGAAATCAATATCGATTGATAAATTTTGATGTATCGAAGGAATGTACA